AAATTGCCTAAGTCACCAAATCCACTAAAAACTTGTATATAGGGGTAATTCAACATCCTGATTACGAGTATGACACTCATTCTTGGCGCTGGCGCCAAGAGAGGACACTACGATTACCTCCTGGGCTCAGCCTTAGCAGAGCGCAGGTAACCGTAGTGTCATCCATTAGCGCCAAAAATGAATGTCATATTCGTGATCAGGATGTTGAATTACCCCTATATACAAGTTTTTAGCGGATTTGGTGATCTTGCCACTTTTAAAATGAGCTCGAAGACGAAATTTCTGGAGTCCAAACGGCATTAGCCACTGTTAGCATCGCGGAAGGGGGTTCGTACTCCCGCGGAGCGGATTAATTGGAACTCTTTTTTTTTCTCAAGGCCAGGTTTGAAGCCAGTCAGAGCAAGGTTTCCACTGTGCGGACTTCCTCTGAATCCGAGAATTTCGCCAAGGAGCACATCACCCAAAAGCCTAGCTCCGTTCAAGTGAACTTTGCATTTATACTTAGCTTGAGGGCTAATATTGTTTCTTTTTTCTAGTCTTTCGTTGTTTTTTGGCAGGACGGTCAGATTCCGTAGGTCAAAAGCATAGCCCACCTTCACTTCACTTACCCTGCTTTCGCGGCTTCCTCTGCCTCTCGCTTTATAGCCATATTGATTCTCTATCTCTCGCTCGGCACAAATAGGGTCTTATTTGGAGCTTTTCGACTGTTTTCTCTCCTTTTTTCACAGGCAAGTCGAACAGCACGTACACTTTGGTTTCCACCCTGGCTACCATCGAACTGTTAGAAGGTCGAAGTCTACCTTTAATGGCACTCCGCGACACGAAGCGTAGCTGGTGGTGTTGAAATATAGGCGAAAACTTGTTAAGGAAGAAAACGCAAGGCGGAACCCTGGAAACACTCGTAATAGGATCGTCTTTGCCTCGAGCAATTGTGCGAGTACGAGGCCAAATGGCTGTTGGGGTAAACTTGGCCCATTGATCCCTTGTAGTGAGCCATGCAACCCCACAAAATGACAACGGGACCTATACTAATTGTCCGCTAGCATCGTTTTTTTTTGAACTTTACATCCGATGTCTGGGGGCGGAGTCACTGGAAAAAAGGAGGTGTCACTGGAACATCTTCGCTTCTTAGCGCCCTTATAACTTACACCGCGAAGCTAGTACAGGGTTGTCCACTGCATACCGGGCAACCCTCCTCGTACAATCTTCTAAGTTTTCATAGGTCACCGCTGACCTTTTCGATCTGTTCTATTTCAAGATTCCTTTTTCAAGTTTTCTTCTTTGTTGATGATTCACTTCTGTTTAATATTGGGGTTATGTGTGTTTTTTTTTGTTATCTTCTTTGGTGATTCATTTACTTACTTACTTGTAATTTCTCTATATATACTAGAAGGGGCCGAAAGTTGAGAATGTAAAACAAACTTGTCAACATATCAACATAGTAACCCATAATGGATCATTCATTGGCTTATCGTCTAAACAGGAAGGAATTAATTAATGGGCAATGTTCTCAGATATGCGGTAGGGAGTCGTCTCATGTCTGCCGTAATAGCGTGAACCTGTTTGAAGGTGTTTACAACTGAATAGGAGGGGTGTGGTGGACGAAACCAAAGATCATGTTGGGCATACATTAAAGGAAGGCCATGGGAAACGTGTTCATGTAAAAGCTGTAACTTTTCGTAGTCTCTATACCGTCACGTTCATCTCCGTCGGCGATCATCACCTTTGTTCGAAGTAATGCCCTCCCAAGTGGGCGTGAATCGGTAACTCCCATGATGGGCGGAGCACAAAAATCATTGTTTGCAATATCTATTCAGTCCTTCCTTAGGTGGATTTCATCCTTGGCGTATCTATCAGTAGTTTGCACTTCCTATTTTTTTCTCTTTTTTGTAACAATTACCGTACAAATAAATCAGTATCCATCAATCACTTAAGGGCGCCATCGTTACGACTGATTGATAACTTTTTGTACTTCCTCAGATTCTTCTTTGTATCATCTTTCTTCCTTATTACTTGAATCGAAAATAGTTTCAAAACGAGCCACCGTAAGGCAGGAAACGATTCAGATCCAATGATTTTTTTTTGCATTTTAAGGGCACACTTTTCCATCGTAATTCCAAGGCAGCGATGTTGAAAGGAAAGCATGTACCCGCTAGCTGACTTATTGTTAGCCTCAAGAAAGCAGCGGAAACAGTCGCAAATGACATAACTAGTGCCCCCCCCCTCCCCGTTGCAGTGAGACTTGAAGGCATGACCCATGAACACTTACACGTCTGTAAGTTCCTTGTAGGGTTCCTAGCATTGTGAACCACACCGAACAAGCCTGTATAAGTTTCGCGGCAGAAGCTGTAAGGAAGCAGCGGTAACGCACACTGCTCAAATGGACCCGCCTACTTTGATGGATGTCTTGTCTGCTGTCTTGCTCATTGCATGCTGTCTCGCTGCTCTTGTCTGGCCGATAGCCCAAAATCACATCGATTCTCGCTCGTGTTTCACGAGGAGAGCCTTGTTTGGGCGTTTTCGACAATTTCTTTTTTCTCCTTGGGTGAGTCAACAAACAAATACACTCCTACTTCTGGCCCAGCTCGCTGTGAGTACTGGCTATCTCATCGCATAGTCTGCCCTCAAGCAGGAGGCGGCGATTCATTAGAAGTTGTTAGAGACAAAAAGGAAGCAACGAAATTTGCTTAACGACAGACACCAATGTGGGTGGAGTTACTTGCGCTTAGGTGGGGCTAGTATGGCAACCTTAGCGTTGGTACCTCTCCCCTCGACACTTCGACGTGAAACTGGTCCAGGTTGTCCTTTGTAGCCCACACAACCTTTCTCCCGTAGATTCTCGTGAGTGGTCGCGATATGTGGCCTTTATTGGTTGCTTAGGCGTGACATTCGCACATGATCTCTTACAGCAATCCAGGGTTGGCCACTCTGCAATACTTGTGCTTTTGCGATACTCGACTTTCTCTAATCTCTCGATTTTCTTGATCTATGTCTTGTAAATATCAACATTTTCCTTTTTTTGATACAACATTGTTTTTTTATTATCAATTTGTTTCCTTCATTGTTCTCAACTTATTGCAGGATGTGGGTTGCTTTGACTGTATCTTTATTTTGCTCCACCACTCGCGTACTCAGCACTCGAATAAACATTGAAAAACCTTTGGGGATGGTTCTTACCATGTGCGAGGTGAATAGGTCCGCAGCTGCAGCAGCGTACCACTATCGCTGCTTAATAGTGAACAGGAATGAGGCGGAAAATAAAGGTACCTAGGTGCCGTTTCCATACCCGACCCGCACTATTTTCAAGTTGCAGCTTTTGCGGTATACAGCGAAACCGCAGCGAACACGCAGTCAGATGTAGAGAACAAGCACAAGTGAGAGGGCGCAGGCAAGTAGCGCGTTCAGCTATGGTTAAGCGTGCGGCCGGCCCTGCGGCAGGCGAGCGGAACGTGGGAAAGGACCCGCGTATCGCTATCCTTTAGCACGCTGTTTCAGCAGCTTTCAGACTTCGCGATAACGCACGTAGACGCGCTGCAGGGCGCGACGCGCGTTGACGCACTTCCACTGCAGGCGCTCTAGCGCTAAAGGCGGAAACGCAGCAGCAGACGGGTGTCGATTGGCTCCGGCCGCTAGTGTTTTTGTAGACCATAAAAGAATGAGGGAGGGGAGTGTCACACTGTGTGTAGTAAGGTAGCGCCCACACTCGCGTTATCTCTCTCGAACACAAGTGGCAGGCACCGAGGTACCAATGTACGGCTGCCTTCTCGTCCATAACACTAAATTGCCACTGTTGCGGTAGAGCGCGTTACAGAGCGTCCGCACGACATTGCGAAGTCTGAATGCTGCCTGACAGCGCATGTCCGGAGCCATAGATGGTGCTCTTCTAACGCTTAAGTGAACCTAGTGCAAGAGCGAATGTACGCGCTTGGTTTCAGAGTGAAGAATCTCTGACACTTGTAGTATTAGTAACCCTACAAGTTAGAAAATGAGTTGCAAAGAACACCCTTAGTGGTAATTGCATACACGATGCGCCTAAGTGAGGTGGGTAAATACCACTCGCTGTAAAAACTCTGAAGCTATTGATTGGGAACAGGTTTTTCAACATCTGTTCATTGATGCCATAGCAAAACAGATAAAATCGTGAAAATTCTCCCGGGCTCACCAGGAGAACAACCCACTACTCTCCAGTCCCATTCCCGTGCCCTTCTAGCGGAGCAAGTGGCACGATACTGCAGCTGCTAGGCCAACCAAGAGGATCAAAAAGGAACCCATGGCGGCCCCTTTCGCTTTGGGGGGAGGCCTTCTGCAAGTTCGCCTCTTTCTCCGTTTCATCACGTTGGTGAGACTTTTTAAAACTGTGAAGCTATAAAATTTAATGGAACACACTTCACCGTGTCAGAGACCTGTTACTTCTCGGAAAATTCTTGTCACCGGGCTTAAAGGTGCATTCCACGTCGACTGCATGGGTGGAGTCAATCAAGCTCTTGCATCGACTTCATTGGTGCTCCTCTCCTCTAGCCATTCAAAGAAAGGCCCAACTATGTAGTTATCAGTATTATAACGCAGATAATCAATGCCGACCATCACGGCGACTATATGATCTTTGTGATCAATAACGTCATTTACTTTCCTTCCTGGCGGTACTTTCCTTTTTCATAGTACATAAAAAAATCTATAAGTTAGTATGGTAGTGGTCCAGAGAACTACTCAGGGACGGAGCTGTTGAAAACTCAGAGCTCAGTAACTGCCTAATAGTTTGGTATGTGACCTCAAGATCGCGCGGGACTCATTTGGCGCGATATCTGGTCATTCAATTTCCGTACAACAGTACTCTTTCTACTTCGTGCTCCCTCGCAGTACTTTTCGCTGAAGCTCATAATACTACTAAATATGTAATAATTTTTTGATTCCAGTAACCTCTTGACCTTACTAACAAGTACTATTCCGTTCCAAACGGCGATTAAACTGCACTATTGTTGATATATCCAATCAGAAAAAAGATGGACAGTCCTAAAAAGAAGAAAGGTAAGTGCATTTATTACTACATTAACACTGAGTTGGCCTTTGTTTTGCACTTTTTGTTTTCAATCAACCTTCCAATTATCCTTGATTTTTTTGACCAATCATTAGTATTCCTTTGTAGGCTGCAAATCAGCCCCATCATTCCCTGGATCGCGATGGGTGGTCGCTACAGTACTTTTATCCGTGGTTATTTTATATGTAATCTATCGGCCTTTACCCACTGGATTTACTAAGAAACCACTGGATCGGTTTTATATTCATCTTTTTGAATCAGCTCTAAGAGTAACTTACTATTGGCCTGTGGGTATTATAGTCTATTATATTCTTCGCTTTCACACTATAATATTTGAAAAGAAACCCTGCAATATAGAGCCGAATATTTCCAAAAGCGAGCACAATGGTCTGGTGGACGCGGTCCGTGCTTAATGCTCTATCGCCAGTCCTTGGACCATGGTGGCACGACGGTTCACTGATTGTGGAAACGCAAACCTGGGATGGAGTCACGGTGAGTCTTAGCTTGTTATAGTTGTTATCGGTCTTGTATTTAATACTAGTGTACTCAAGACATGTCTCCTCATCCTTATGATCCGTATTTAGGTCCGAGTTTTCAGTCCTCGTGCCAATGCTTCTACCGATGGCGCTGTCTTTTTCATACATGGTGGAGGGTTTGCCCTTGGAAATATTGACATCTACGACTCCCTCACAAGGCGGATAGCTCGAATGTAATATGTTTTTACAGAAAAACAAAATTGTGGGCGCTAACATAGTTGGAGGGCGGGGGGTAGAGGGCCACTCACCAGCTCCTCCGTGTCCATTCCCTTAACGAAGGCTTTCGTTTAGCGGAGACTGTGTCTTCTCTGCAGGTCCACCTTTCGGTGACCCTGGTCGTTTGCGCTACGGCCCAAGCCTTTTTGGGGAAAGGATACAGTCGCGAGACGGGTCAAGTTGTCCCCTAACTATGCTATCCCCAAATTGTGGTTTTTATGTGATCTCCGTTTCTTTCAGGTTGAACTCTGTCGTTGTTTCTGTGGAATACCGATTATCACCTGAAACTCCTTATCCGGGTGGACTTCATGACTGCGAAGCGGCTTTGGAGTATTTCCTGGAAAATGCCGAAGCAAAGTATGGAGTGGATCCTGAAAAGGTATGTTCTCCTTGTTGTATTGTAGGCATCCTGATAAGGGAGTGTGGGCCTTATATTCCACCAACGAGCCCTCATGTATACTAAATAGTAACTTTATTAGGTAACCAAATGATTACCGTGTCCAAAAACACCGTAAATTTAATTGCGACGTGCACAACACACTATTCCATGGTTACAGGGCTTCTGTCAACCAAATGCTCTCTCTTTGCGAGAACCCAGAGGTATCTTCTCATATTATCTTTCAGCCGAGCATTTGAAGGAAGAGAACAGGGAAGAGAGAAGGACGGAAAAAGAGCAAGGAAGGGAGGCTTCGCAGCTGACAGATAGCCTGAAATTGCCTGCGGACGTCAGGATTTGACTTACTCGATTCTCGAATACGATAGTAGTTTGGTTACTAACTGAAGTTACCCTCTGTTGTCCATTGTATTCATGCTTCTGGGGACCAGAAAATCAGGCTTGAAGTGAAGTCATTCCCATGCCCTAGCTCAAATATACAGGTTCGCATCGATCAAGCGCACGAATGGCCAGTCTGGTGTAGAGTAGAAGTTGAAGAAAGCTGCCGAGATCTTGTTTTGTGACTGCGACTCATCACAACAGCGGTTTCCAGCTAACGGTCGTCCGGTCTTCTTGTACGATGGGACTCCCGGCCTGTGAAGACGACAATTTGGTGAAAGTGTAGGGTCATACTGAATAAAACAACCTAAGGCACAAAACAAGTTGGAAATATTACAACAGCGTTTTCATGTCAATAGGCGTAATGTGACGCAATAGATGGACAAACCAATTTTATGCCCACGTGCTTAGTCTGATTTGTCCAGACACTGTCTCATGACTTCCAGCAACGTGACTGTCTGACTAAAAATCTCTACTAAACTAAAACTAAAAAGTCTCTGTGACCATTTTACTAAGGAAACCAGTTCGGCATGACCTTTCTGAGAGGAAATGCCCAGCACATGGGACGTTTTTGGACTATGTCACCCGAAAAGATAGAATTGGTAGATGATAGAATCTGGACCTCAAAGCACACTGTAGAATTGATAGATGATAGAATCTGGACCTCAAAACACACTGTACAATTATCCGAGCGGTGGGTCTTCCCATGCATGAGATGGGTAGTCCGCAGCCGCATAATTGTACTACTCTAGCCGGTCAAAAGTATGCTCTAGTTCGCTGCGGACGGTTGGGCGTGTCAGGCAGTATGAGTGTGTCACGCCGTCAAAGCCGTTCTCTGCCTTCTTGTTGAAGCGCGCATGCGACAAAAAGTGGTAGAAGTAATACGAACGATATGATACAGTCATATCACTTGCTCGCTTTAACAACTGGTGGAGAACGGGTTTGGCAAAACTCATCCCGCCTGACACGCCCAACCGTCCCCAGCGAACTACACTGTAAGTGGCACTGAAGCTCGAGGCTCGTTATTGCTTGATGGTTGTCTCCGCACATCGCTGGATACGTTATACAGCTAAATGAAGCATGCTACTCATCGGGGCCCTCTTTCCAAGATAGTGTTCACTGCGTTCGATTGAGGCTGGCAGTGTTCAGATATCACATCAGTTGATATCAGTACCTGCAATCACATCGAAGGAGGTTTTATAGCCCTCGAACCCACCATGAGGCGGAGAGGGTGCAGTGGCAAGTGGCGCGCGCTTACCACGCGCAGTCTGGAGGTCAAATCCCGGATTGGCTGCCGATCAGCTCAAGCAAGCCTTCTATCCTCCGTGGACGATGAATTGGTACCAGTCTTCCTCTGGAAGGATAAGAACTTCGAATTTCACATGGTTGGCCTTCGCAAGTCATTGTATAGACCACATCGCATTCAATAAGCCACTGCGATTCTGAATGGAAGCAGAATGCGTGCCGCATCCAGAGAAGGGATGTATCAACGTGAGGGCTTAGGCAGCGTTCAGACTTCGCGGCGGCAGCGCTTCGGTCGCGCGTTCGACGCGATCGATGCAGTCGAAAGCATGCGCATCGATCGTCGAATCGCGCGACCGAAGCGCTGCCGTCGCGAAGTCTGAACGCTGCCTTACTTTTAACTCACAGAATACGTGTGGCGTATTGAGTGGCGGGCAGATACATCAAAATCCCCAAGCAATCGCAAGCTTCTAAGCTCCTTATAACCGGCCATTGAGGGGTAAGCGTAGTGCAATCCAAGGGTGTGGACCGGGTAGGCGACAAGACAATTGTAATATTTCGTGCTAGTGGGAGTAGCGAGGGACGCCGCATCCAAGAGGCGAGCTGTCTTGCTTGGCCATTTAAATTTGAGTGTGAAAGGGACGAGAAAAATCAGTCTCACTCAGCATGGTTTGCCTCCCCTTGAATACACATGAGTTTCGCTGCTCCAGTCGTCAGACTGATGCACACCAAGAATGTGAATCAGTTTGTCGATTAGAGTAACGAAAATCACGTGCACGATTCCCGCACAATGCAACGCGCACGGCGGCGCGGTAGATCACGATTGTCTTGCCCGTCTCTCCCCTGAGGACTTCCTCTACGTCTCAGGTGATCGTACAGTGTGTATTTACTGACTACTTGCTAGTATTGTATTGTGAGATATCTTCAAATTCACCTGGTACCCTGAAGAACCGCCCTAAGTTTCACCAGAAGCGCCGAAGAACCTCTTTTTGCACTCATTCGCTATCACGATACGTTCGTTACTCCTGGTGTTATGTTTCCCTTCAGGTTGTTCTTATGGGAGATTCAGCTGGTGGAAATCTCGTAGCTGCAATTACACAACGACGTCGTGATACGAATGCAAAACCCGATATTCTCGGTCAAGTGCTACTGTACCCTCTACTTCAATTGGCTGATTTCCAGTCTATCTCATATCGATATTTCTTCAAGCACCTTGAAGGGACTGCTCTTGTCGGTACGTTATATTCTTTTTTTTGTTTCAGATGCGCCATACTATCTTTCATATGCCATTTAGATCCCGAATCAGTTGTGTATTATTACATGTTTTATGTTGGCATTGACATGGATAAGCACGGTGATTTGGTAAAGTATGTCCTGAGCAATGGTCACATTTCCCCACAAATTCGTGAAAAAGTGGATAAAGTATGCGAATTTCGTTTTCACCCCAGCCACTTTTTCAGAAAATTATCGATTGATTACGTTGGGTCTGTTCAGATTATCGATTACTCCTCATTTTCTTACTTGAATTATGGAAACGATTCGTTACCAGAGAGGGCGCCAGTGGTATATTCCGAAGAAGCGCAACGGCGTTTAGCTCCGTTCGTTGCTAATCCATATGTTGCACCTTTGATGCAAGAGGTTGGTGCAATTAGTAAAACTTACAAAGCAATTTTTGCGATACTCAGGCTGCGTTCGTTACAGTGATGTTTCGAGCCTAGGAAAGGATAGGTATGTCTAGAATTTGAGCGTATGACGATGTTTTCAGCGATTGCCCGCAAAAGTTTGAAACTGCCCGCGGAACATTAAAGCACCTGCGTACGCTCAAAGGCTAGATCGATATCTATACTTTCCCAGTCGCTCTGAACGTACACCCAAAACTCCCAGGTAAACTAGGAGTGCAGTAAACTCCATGTTCGCCTTTCTTGTAACCTGGGCATTTGGTACTTATAGTTCTAATAACTTCTTTCTTATGCCAAACAGGTTTGTATGGTGGAATACTTTATTTACGCCTGACGTTTCGACAATCTCGTCATTTTCAAAGGCCTCGTCGTTCTACCAGTGCCTATGATGATCTGCTCAACTTTGAAGACCGATGGAGCAAGTCAAAAAGTAAATGAAGTACTCCACCATACAAACCTGTTTGGCATAAGAAAGAAGTTATCAAGTTCTATGAGTGCAGTCTTACAAAGTAGGAACGCAGTCTTACTTATTTGCAATACAAAGCGATTTTGGGATTACAGGACATGTCCCATCTTCCCCCTGCATTTGTAATGACATGTGAATACGATGTACTGAGAGACGAGGGGATTTTATATGCCAAGCGTTTGAAGGTATTTCCATTTAAACTGTTCTGTGTACTACTACAATTTTACCTTGGCTTGATTCTCCTAGGAAGCTGGCGTGAAGGTAGAAGCTCGAAATTACGTGAATGGTTTCCATGCAATGCTGAATTTTCATCATGAAATTGATGAAGCCGCAGAGTCTTTAAAAGACATCGTCGCTTGGACGAAGAAGATTATCATGTCTGCACAGAGTAACTAGTCACTAGCTATAACCTTTTTTTTCTGTTTTTTTTTTCTTCACGTTTGTACGAGTTACTGTATCTGCAGGTTTTCTAGTTTTGGGTTTTATAGTATGTACTCTTATGTCTTTCTGTTGTTTGCTCAATTATGATGTATATTTGTACAGATCGACTTAGCACTGCTTTTCAAAGTCATTTTTAACATGGAGATAGCTTTAAGCGACTATTAATGCATGCAAAGGAAATTGTTGTGATGTGAACATAAACTTTTCGGAGCTCTGTCTGATGTTTTTGAGCGAGGTTTTCTTCCCAGGAGTTTCTCAGTAGGTCTTGTTCTGGTCAGTCAGAACAAAAAGAATTGATTTGGATAAGATGGACATTGTGAGTCCCTGCCGATGTCGGAAACCGGAAACTAACATGTTCCTTCACTGTCGATTTTGAACGGGAAGGTTGACAGGGTATGCGATTTTGTAACGCCCCTTCTTACCATTGCCATAGTCAACGCAATCGACTTTTGCATTAGGATGGCCGGCGTTATTGGGCATAGAGTGGGCATTTTGCACTTCCGCTAGTTCCTGTTGTAAGTCCATGTTAACTAACAGGTCACGCTTTGCTCAGGCCTGTAAGCGTGTGAGAGAGGGAAATCTTTCGTGTGAGGTCTTTTAGTCACAGAATCCACAGGTCTACGCAAGTATGCCTGGACAAGCTTAGCTGAGTAGAATTTGGTGCCCCACCAAGCCGAATCACGCCAGGTGTGGTCTTTGGAACGTGGCGTGCGCGCTCTAGCTTTTCGAGGTGTTTGCTTTTCTCTGGAAAACTCCTTTTATAGTGATAGGCAACCGTCTGCTTCATCGTGGAATAGCTACGTAAACAAGTATCATACTATATAGTAGAAAATCGCTCAGTATGGTAGCATTTGCAAAACCGCTTTTCTCGGGCTTGGACTTCAGTTTGACTTTCCTCCAGTTGACAAGCAGGGCATACCAGTGACCGCTGAGGAGAAACTGGCTGGAGAACTCGTCCAGTACGACCTTCCTCTCGACCTGCTCACCCTCCCTCCCCTTCGCTGTCTCACATACGGCGCACTTCAGACTGAGAAGTCAGGACATCCATTTTCATCCATTTCTT